CATCATCACCAATTTGATAATATAATTGTCTAAGTACTTGGTTTTTTTTTAAATCTTCTGGACATCCTTTAAAACAATCAATTCCTATTGATGTGATTGTCGTTGGTATATCGATATAACTCAATGACGTACAGTCTTTAAAACAGCAGTTCTTTAATTCACTAACTGATGATGGAATAGTGATTGATGTTAATGATGAGCACCCTTCAAAACAATTATCAGCTATACTCACAAGTGATGATGACATAGTTATTAATTTTAATGACACACATTTAAAAAAACAAGATTCTCCTATATTTTTAACTGATGAAGGCATAGTAATAGATGTTAATGATGTACATCCATAAAAACACCCAGACCCTATTGATGTAATGGTTAATGGTATTTCAATTGATGTTAACAATTTGCAATTTTTAAAACACCAACCTCTTAATTCACTAACAGATGATGGAATATAAATATAACTTAATGAACAACTACCAAAACATATATCTCCTATTTCTATAATAGAAGACGGTACATTAATTGATGTTAATGATGAACATCCATAAAAACATTCATTTCCTAATTCACTTACTGATGTTGGAATATCAATTCTTGTTAATGATGTACATTCATAAAAACATTTCATCCCTAAAACACTAACAGTGATTGGAATACTAACTGATTTTAATGATGTACATTCTTTAAACCGTTCATTTACTAATTCATTTATTGATGCTAGTATATTTATTGATGTTAATGATGTACATCCATTGAAACGACACCAATCCCCTAAATCACTTATTGAAGACGGTATAGTAATACTACTCAATGATCGGCAGTCACTAAAACAATCACTTCCTATTTTATGAACTGATGCTGGAATATTAAATGATGTTAATGAATAACATCTATTAAAACAATTATTTCCTAATTCACTGACTGTTGATGGTATATCAATTGATGCCAATGAAGAGCAGTTTCCAAAACAAATGTCTTCTAATTTACTTATTGTTGTTGGTAACGAAATTAATGTTAATGATGTACAATCATTAAAACAATTATTACCTATTCATACCA